CATACTCACGAATAACCTTCCGTGTACTGATATTAAAGGATGTGCTCGTAAAAAAATATTATAAAAGAAAATTTAATATGAATTTTGATAAATTTACCGATAACACGAAACTACTCATTCAGAAATTTGAAAGATTTCATAAGAAATATTAAAAGACTGAATTAATATTATTTAATAAAACATATTTGAGAGAATATATATATATATATATATATATATATATATATATATATATATATATAAAAAATAATTTCCAAAACGTATATAATCCAGGTAGATCCTAGCAATATAAAAAAATATATAAAACTGATCCACAAAAAGAGTTCAATGTATTTATTATTACAGAGAAAATAATTAATAAACAATAAAATTCAAATCCATTTGGATTTTATTGTTTATTAAATATTTGCTCTGTAATAATAAACCCATTGAACTCTTTTTGTGGATCAGCTTTAATATTTTATATTAATAGGATCCACTTAGATTATGTACTAACGTATTTGTTAACTTTGCTATATATATATATATATATATATATATATATATAAAAGAGAGAGAGAGAGAGAGAGAGAGAGAGTCCGACAAAAAATGTACGCACATTTAAGGAAATGAAAACCTTGTATAGATTTTGTAATACAAAATCTATTCAGTCATCACGGGATTAATACAAGTTACCTTTGGAATCTCCAATCACAAGAGGCTTCCAAAAAGCGACATTTAGCTTCCAGACATTTGTTCGTACGGCGAAAAACTGCTTGCGTAACGTTGGCCAAAGACTCCAGTGGGAATTCGACACATGCATTTTCAATTCCTTGACTAAGGGTGTCATCAATGTAGTCAATTTTCTGCGATAGACAATATCTTTTAGGTTATTCCCTGAAACACTGTACCTACTACTGTCATTCCAGCATTGACTGGGGTGAAATGACATAACTGAATTCGTACTTGATAATGCATTAACAGCAGGAGCAGCTTCTGTTTTTCAATTTACCTTTTCTCTAGAGCGCTCTATCGAGGGTGGGGTCGTCTCCGAGAGCATATATATATAGTCATCCCCAGAAAGAGTGTTTCGCTGCATCACAGCTATTCAGTGTTGCTAGACGTCCGATTGTTTCAAGCCGGGATCGATTTGGCATGTCAGAGATCCTGTCCCTAAGCTATCTGAGCAGGGCAGAAAGAAAGGGAAATTTTATCGTTTTCAATTCGAAATACGACAGTGGCCAGGAGAACTCAATTCGTCCTTGAAGAGTAATGCATTAACAGCAGGAGCAACCACTGTTTTTCAATCTACCCTTTTCTCTAGAGAGCTCTATCGGGGGTGGATAATCCAAGTGTATTCTATTAATATAAAATATTAAATCTGATCCACAAAAAGAGCTCAATATATTTATCATTACAGAGAAAATAATTAATAAACAATAAAATCCAAATCCATTTTGGATTTTATTGTTTATTAATTAGTTTCAAATCCATTTTGGATTTTATTGTTTATTAATTATTTTCTCTGTAATGATAAATATGTTGAGCTCTTTTTGTGGATCAGCTTTAATATTTTATATTTATAGGATCCACTTGGATTATGTACCAACATATTTGTTAACTTTGATATATATATATATATATATATATATATATATATATATATATATATATAGAGAGAGAGAGAGAGAGAGAGAGAGAGAGAGACAGAGACAGAGAGAGACAGAGAGACAGAGAGAGTGTGTGTGTCCGACAAAAAATGTAGGCACATTTAAGGAAATGAAAGCATATATATATAGTCATCCACAGACTATATGTTTCGCTGTATCACAGCTATTCTGTGTTGCTAGACGCCCGATTGCTTCAAGCCGGGATCGCAAGCGTTAATGTATTTGAAATGGACGCCGCATTTTTTTAATACGGCGTCCATTTCAAATACATTAACATTTGCGGTAATAAAAATATATAATAGTTATAAAATTAAACTATGTATTTATGGTTCAACTTCGTCACGAGATAAAGATGAGCATGTCACCAATCTGTATGGGCTGGTGTCTTCTGATCACAAGGACAAAATGATGCTACTGTGTCAATATTTAGCGACAAAGTTAGTGATAGTTATCATAATAAACTTTTCCTCAAAGATAGAGATTATGTTGTATACACAAACACTTACTTACATTTAACAAGATATTTTATTGCCTAAGGAAAACGAAAAGTAAAACAATAAAAAGCGGTAAATAGATATTTATGTATATATAAATATCTTTATTGCGCGTATATATGTGTAAATATCCTGTGACATAATTGGGAGAAACTTGCATTTGAGAAGAACTTGTAATACTGTGTGTGTTAAAAAATAAAAAAAAAATAATAAAAAATAAAGAACCATACAGGTTGTTGGAATTAAATATATCATATTCCTCAAATGCGATAAGGGTCAGTTTTTGGTCGACAAGTCCCGCAAAATAAACGGAAAAAATGTATATAATAGAAGGTTTTCATTGGCCCGTAAATTGATAAATCAGCGGTAAAACGAGATTTCCGGGTAAATAAGTTTCTCACTCCAATATTCTTCAGCGAGAATTATCCGCTTAGTAGCGGACGTATAGGTCTGCAAACTCAGGATTAGGTAGTTCTTTCACCGACTCGCCCTCTCCGTCAGTGGAAATATTTCCCTATTGGGAACAATAAAAGCAGCCAATACGGACCATATGCGTTATGCTAAATAATAATACAAAAAAAAACCTGGTTAAAAGACAGCTTATTTGATCTTTTGTAGCAGACAGAGGTTACTGGCCTAAAGACAGCCGTCGAGGCTAAAGCAGTGTCACAACGGAATAACGACCTTAATTGTCAAACATCTGTTCGAGTCGCATAGGATATCGTGACTACGCCACACGTAATTTATCTGTTGGTTTGGTAAAATTGTAACATATGCTTGTATGAAATCAGGTAAGTTTGTATACGTATACTAGTTCGTGTGATGTGTGTTTTTCTGCCTTGTGTTCAATGCAACATGCGGTTTGTGTGGACAGAAAAGTATCCCGGAGAGGGAACGAGGCACATTCTATTTCTGAAGCATCCTTTGGGTAAAGAGAAAGGAAGAGAATGGACCTTTTGCTCCCCATTTTTAGTTACTGCTTTTGGCAGCTCTATCTAACGGTTGCTGGCCGAAGTTTTTTGTCAGACAATTGGAGTAATCCCACCACACGTAGTATTTTTTTTCATATAATTGGATTATTTCCTTCTTTCAGTTGCTTGACGTAATTTTGTTATTTTCCTTGTATTGCCTTGAAGCTTTTCTTATATCTTCCTTTCATTCTTAATTCCTTCAGATTAATTCTCCGTTGATCTTTTTGTTAGTGTCTTCTCTGTTTATCTGTCTGTTCCGTCTCTCTTTCTCTTTTCTTTCATTCATATTAACTGACTATTCTTTTATTCTCTCGCAAACTCTATCCTTTTATTCGCATACGTTTATTCTTTTATTCTCTTATAATATTCGCTTCTCTTCACTATTCAATTAAAATGTACTATCAATTCTGTTATTCTCGTTTCATTCTTGTTTCTTATCAACTTTGGTATTCACGGTACTCTCCAGTCTTTCATTCACTACTCTTTTCTATACATTTATTCACTTCCATATATATATATATATATATATATATATATATATATATATATATATACTTTTATTCCGATTTCTTTTAGGGTAGGCCGTTTCTTATTTATTCTTCTATTCAAGTTCGTTATTTATTCTCTTATTTGCTCCAACTTTCTATTTTTTTACTTTCGCCATACCATTGAGATGATGTAATTGTTAGCAAACTTGTTCGAACCTCACTGGGAGCTGCACACTTTCGACCTTGTGCCACACCTAAGCTTCGCTTTTAAAATCATTAGGGCACATCGATATTTTATATAATGGTTAGCAAGCTTGTCTTGCTAGGTCAATTACGATCGAGTCGTGAGTTCGATCCTCACTGGGTGCACCACACTTTCGGCTTTGTTCTGCATCTAAGCTACGCTTAGAAAATCATTGGTGCACTTCGACGCGGTATAATCGGTTGTCTTGTTAAATCAATTAAGATTGAGTAGTGAGTTCGATCCTCATTGGGTGCTCCACACATTTGGCCTTGTACCACATCTAAGCTACGCTTAGAAAATCATTGGAGCACTTCGATGTCGTGTAATGGTTAGCAAGCCTGTCTTGATTGATTAATTAAGACTGTGTGAATTCGATCCTCACTGGGTGCTCCAAACTTTCGGCCTTGTGCCACATCAATTCTACGCTTAGAATACCACCATCCCTATGCTTTTACTAAATCCTTCGCTCTTATCGTTTATTTACATTCACTCTCTATTCTTTTATTCGCTCCGTTTTATATTCTTTTATTCTCGACTCTTCCGTATTCTTTTATTCGCTTCGCATTCCTTTTCGTTTATTCACTTCGTTTTTTCTTTTTTTTTTTTCATCTCAACTTATTCCCTATTCTTCTATTCTCGTTGTTCTTTCTGTTCTTTTATACACGTTCGTAATTTTCTTATTCTTATTTGCTTCCACGTTCTGTTCTTTTATTAAAATTCCAGCCTTATTCTTTTATTCGCTTCAACTCTCTACGTATTTTTATTCGTTTTTCCTCTCCATCTTTTCAGTCGCTGGCTCTTCACTCTAAATCGCTTTCACTCACGACAATTCGTGACTTCGGGGCCAATGTTACTCTATCTCATTTTTCATTTTTATTCTGCCATTCTCGTCTCCCACTTCTCCTCTCACTTCCGTCGCCTCACGTCTAATCTTCCTCCCACTCTTTGCAATGTTCTTCGACTTGGTCATCCCAAATCCACTCATGGATCAATATACAAAGAAGAAAAGCGCGACTGCTATTTATAAACGTCTGCTGATATAAGAGCTGTGAAATGCGAACTATAGAAGAATCGAGAAAATGGCGCCGATGAGGAAAGGTGAGAAAGAAAATCGTGGGATGAAAGAAAGGATGTAAGAAGGGCAGAGTACAATGTTAGAAGAAGAAGAAGAAGAAGAAGAAGAAGAAGAAGAAGAAGAAGAAGAAGAAGAAAAATCGAGAAAATGGCGCCGATGAGGAAGGTGAGAAAAAAAAAATCGTGATTAAAGAAAAGAAGAAGAAAAGAAGGTTATAAGAAGGCTAGAGTACAATATTAGAAGAAGAAGAAGAAGAAGAAGAAGAAAAATCAAGAAAATGGCACTGATGAGGAAAGGCGAGAAAGAAAATCGTGCGATGAACGAAAGGTTATAAAAAGGCTAGAGTACAATATTAGAAGAAGAAGAAAAAGAAGAAGAAGAAGAAGATGATGATGAAGAAGAGGAAGAAGATGAAGAAGAAGAAGAAAATCGAGAAAATGGCGCTGCTGAGGAAAGGCGAGAAAGAAAATCGTGCGATGAAAGAAAGGATATAAGAAGGCTAGAGTACAATATTAGAAGAAGAAGGAGATGAAGAAGAAGAAAAAGAAGATGAAGAAGAAGAGGAAGAAGATGAAGAAGAAGAAGAAAATCGAGAAAATGGCGCTGATGAGGAAAGGCGAGAAAGAAAATCGTGCGATGAAAGAAAGGTTATAAGAAGGCTAGAGTACAATATTAGAAGAAGAAGAAGAAGAAGAAGAAAAATCGAGAAAATGGCGCTGATGAGGAAAAGCGAGAAAGAAAATCGTGTGATGAAAGAAAGGTTATAAGAAGGCTAGAGTACAATATTAGAAGAAGAAGAAGAAGAAGAAGAAGAAGATGAAGAAGAAGATGAAGGAGAAGAAAAATCGAGAAAATAGCGCTGATGAGGAAAGGCGAGAAAGAAAAATCGAGAAAATGGATTAAAGAAAGGTTATAAGAAGGCTAGAGTACAATATTAGAAGAAGAAGAAAAAGAAGAAGAAGAAGATGATGATGAAGAAGAAGAAAAATCGATGAAATAGCGCTGATGAGGAAAGGCGAGAAAGAAAATCGTGCGATGAATGAAAGGTTACAAGAAGGCTAGAGTACAATATTAGAAGAAGAAGAAAAAGAAGAAGAAGAAGATGATGATGAAGAAGAAGAAAAATCGATAAAATGGCGCTGATGAGGAAAGGCGAGAAAGAAAAAAAAAGAAGAAGTGCGATTAAAAGAAAGGTTATAAGAAGGCTAGAGGTAAATATTAGAAGAAGAAGAAGAAGAAGAAGATGAAGAAGGAAGAAGAAAAAAAAAAAATCAAGAAAATGGCACTGATGAGGAAAGGCGAGAAAGAAAAAAAAGAAAAAAATCGTGCGATGAAAGAAAGGTTATAAGAAGGCTAGAGTACAATATTAGAAGAAGAAGAAAAAGAAGAAGAAGAAGATGATGATGAAGAAGAAGAAAAATCGATAAAATGGCGCTGATGAGGAAAGGCGAGAAAGAAAATCGTGCGATGAATGAAAGGTTACAAGAAGGCTAGAGTACAATATTAGAAGAAGAAGAAGAAGAAGAAGAAGAAGAAGAAAAAATGATGAAAATGAAGAAGAAAAATCGATAAAATGCGCTGATGAGGAAAGGCGAGAAAGAAAATCGTGATTAAAGAAAGGTTATAAGAAGGCTAGAGTACAATATTAGAAGAAGAAGAAGAAGAAGAAGAAGAAGAAGAAGATGAAGAGGAAGAAGAAAAATCAAGAAAATGGCTCTGATGAGGAAAGGCGAGAAAGAAAATCGTGCGATTAAAGAAAGGTTATAAGAAGGCTAGAGTACAATATTAGAAGAAGAAGAAGAAGAAGAAGAAGAAGAAGAAGAAAAATCAAGAAAATGGCACTGATGAGGAAAGGCGAGAAAGAAAATCGTGCGATGAACGAAAGGTTATAAGAAGGCTAGAGTACAATATTAGAAGAAGAAGAAAAAGAAGAAGAAGAAGAAGAAGATGAAAAATCGAGAAAATGGCGCTGATGAGGAAAGGCGAGAAAGAAAATCGTGCAATGAAAGAAAGGATATAAGAAGGCTAGAATCGTAAATATTAGAAGAGAAGAAGAAGAAGGAAATGAAAAAATGGAAGAAAAAGAAGATGAAGAAGAAGAAGAGAAGAAGATGAAGAAGAAGAAGAAAATCGAGAAAATGGCGCTGATGAGGAAAGGCGTGAAAGAAAATCGTGCGATGAAAGAAAGGTTATAAGAAGGCTAGAGTACAATTATTAGAAGAAGAAGAAAAGAAGAAGAAGAAGAAGAAAATGAAGAAGATGAAGAAGAAGAAAAAAAATCGAGAAAATAGCGCTGATGAGGAAAGGCGAGAAAGAAAAAAAAATGGCTCTGATGATGAAAGAAAGGTTATAAGAAGGCTAGAGTACAATATTAGAAGAAGAAGAAGAAGAAGAAGAAAAAAATCGAGAAAATGGCGCTGATGAGGAAAAAGAAAATCGCGAGAAAGAAAATCGTGTGATGAAAAGAAAAGGTTATAAGAAGGCTAGAGTACAATATTAGAAGAAAAGAAAAAAGAAGAAGAAGAAGAAGAAGAAGAAGAAGAAGAAGATGAAGAAGAAGATGAAGGAGAAGAAGAAAAATCGAGAAAATGGCGCTGATGAGGAAAGGCGAGAAAGAAAATCGTGCGATGAAAGAAAGGTTATAAGAAGGCTAGAGTACAATATTAGAAGAAGAAGAAAAAGAAGAAGAAGAAGAAGAAGATGAAGAAGAAGATGAAGAAGAAGAAAAATCGAGAAAATAGCGCTGATGAGGAAAAGGAAGAAGAAAGAAAATCGTGATGAAAGAAAAGGTTATAAGAAGGCTAGAGTACAATATTAGAAGAAGAAGAAGAAGAAGAAAAAAAGAAGAAAATGGCGCTGATGAGGAAAAAGGAGAAAGAAAAAAATCGTGTGATGAAAGAAAAGGTTATAAGAAGGCTAGAGTACAATATTAGAAGAAAAAGAAGAAGAAGAAGAAGAAGAAGAAGAAGAAGAAGAAGAAGAAGAAGATGAAGAAGAAGATGAAGGAGAAGAAAAATCGAGAAAATAGCGCTGATGAGGAAAGGCGAGAAAGAAAATCGTGCGATTAAAGAAAGGTTATAAGAAGGCTAGAGTACAATATTAGAAGAAGAAGAAAAAGAAGAAGAAGAAGATGATGATGAAGAAGAAGAAAAATCGATAAAATGGCGCTGATGAGGAAAGGCGAGAAAAAAAATCAAAGATGAATGAAAGGTTATAAGAAGGCTAGAGTACAATATTAGAAGAAGAAGAAAAAGAAGAAGAAGAAGATGATGATGAAGAAGAAGAAAAATCGATAAAATAGCGCTGATGAGGAAAGGCGAGAAAGAAAATCGTGCGATGAATGAAAGGTTATAAAAGGCTAGAGTACAATATTAGAAGAAGAAGAAGAAGAAGAAGAAGAAGAAGAAGAAGAAGAAGAAGAGATTATTTTGCGAATGTAGGTTTATGCTGAAGTGAGAGTGGGCAGAAAAGAGGAATAAAGGTAAAATAAAAGAAAATCATACAATTTTGAGAAAAAGACAAACAAAACGAAAATAAAACTTTATCGAAGAAAGTAAAAAAAGAATGAATGAATACAAGTGTGGAAAAATAAAATAAAATCAGGAAGAAATATGTCTGTTTTCGTGAGCGCGGTTGTGTTTGATTTTTAAAAAAAATAATGTTAGAAGCAAAAAATGAAGTTAGAGAAAGACAAAGATACGAAAACGAAAAAAGAGTAAAGAAAGCGAAATTAGGTGAAAGAGAGGAAGACAGAGGGAGGCCTGCGCGTGAGGTCAAAATAGGACGAGATTTAAAGACAGCAGATCACTCGAAGTTCTTCATTTTATGACGTCGTTAATAAACTGAAAAGTTGAAGAAAGCAGGCGGCGAAATGGTAAAGTAAATTAGACTACAGTGACAGCAAGCAGAGATAATAATCAAAACGGGAGATAACTCTGGTTATTACGTTTGTCAGAAACTGTTAGTCTTAATCTAACTTAAAAATGCAGTAACTCGTTTATTTTTCATTTTAGTAATTACGTGTTAATACCCCTAAACAATACTTTTCCCGACTATACGCCTCTACACAACACACACACATATATATAAAGACATTTTTATGTTTAACGTTCTTTTTTATAGATACAAGTATTCAAGTAAATGCTCTGTTTATAATAAACAGTATTAAATAACATTTACCGGCCTGAATGTCCGAGAAATTTTCATAGAAAATATTCGTCCTTTGGCAGGATTCGAACCTGCATCCTATACGGAACCGTCATTTACGCTGACGTGCCTTAACCGACTCGGCCACAAAGGAGCGTCCGGTAAGGTCGAATTTACTGCTTATAAACTTCAATCTTCCATGAATCTCGTACATTCATAACTGCTCTGGCCATGGAATATTAATGTTTAAGCCTTTTTATTATATCCTTACTTTGTCCTGGACATTGAGTTTTACTTGGATTCTATCCTCTCGAATTTTTTATTCAAAAAATATACATGTATGTGTATGCACGTATGTATATATATATCTATATATTTTGCATATGTATGTGTATATTTACCACTAATATTATCTATCTATATATATATATATATATATATATATATATATATATATATATATATATATATATATATATTATTATGAAATGGACAAAGTCCGACAATTATTTAAGACATGTCCAAGGCGGGACTGCTCAGTCACCAGAAATCACACCAACATCAACAGTTGTATATAACGATTTTGTAATGGCAGGCTTTGAATGCCTGAGCAACACTAGGGTGTGTGAGTGCAAGTCGGGCCTGAAAAGGCGTATGAAAATAGACACTGAAGGTAATGATGATGAAAGTCAACTTCCACCACCCGGAGATGATTTCATATGCCACGTATGTGACCAGAAATGCGGATCGATGGCTAGCTTTATGAGCCATTGTCGTTCACAGAACCGATGAATGCAGTTTTAAGTGGGTGGGAGTTTAAGTGAAGGGCTGGACTTGTCAGTGATGGTCATACTCTGCTTTGTGAGTCGAGGGCCAACACACACACATATATATCTATATATATATATATATATATATATATATATATATAATAAAAACAATATATTATATATATATATATATATATATATATATATATTAAAAAACATATATATATTTACCATGATTTCTCTCAACCGATCATATCTGCACGAAGCGTATCTTATCGTAAACAAATGACAATTTGTATTATGAAATAGATTAAGTCCGACAATTATTTTAATATATTTTCTGTTCATACGTTATTTTAATAGATACAAATATTTAAGTAAATACTTTATAATAAACAGTATCAACTACTATTACCAGGCTGAATGTCAGGAACCGTCTTATAAACAGATGTGCAACATTTAGCAACAGAGGAAGCATCTGTTTAGCAAACAGATATATACAGATCAATGGGGCAGTGTGGGTAGCCTAGTCTAACTATATATATATATATATATATATATATATATATATATATATAAGCCCTGTCTAACTATTTATATATATATATATATATATATATATATATCTCATCTAACTATATATATATATATATATATATAGCTTCGTCTAACTATATATATATGTCTAACTGTATATATATATATATATCATCTAACTATATATATATATATATATATATAGATATATATATAAGCTTCTTTTATTCAGTTAGATCCACTTCTACCCCCCTCTATATCTAAAAATTTATTACAAAATAGCTTACGGTTTGCTAAAAATTAAACTAAAATTACTAACGAAGAAATAAAAATCATAATGGCTTCTCGACAGTCTATACTAAGGCTTAATGAAACTACTTGGATTAAAGAAAACGAAGATAATTTCAATGTCCCCATAGGAGCATATGATTCAGCACAGATATTAGATTTAATAGGTATATACATTTTATAAATTCGAAGCAGATTCCTAGACCCCCAAAACGTAGGACTGTACAGAGATGATGGATTTATTGTTATACCTATTACTAATGGTCCTCTAACATCCCTACCACAAATGAAAGTAATTAAGGCCTTCCAATTTTTGGGATTTAAAATCGAAATATGATCTCATGTAAAAATCGTATATAATATATATATATATATATATATATATATATATATATATATATATATATATATATATCTGCGGGAGATTGGAAACAGCGTTTTTACAACCATCGCCAGTCCTTCACAAATCAATCCAAAAGACACCAAATAGCACTATCGAAACACTATTGGGATTTATTGGAAAATGGCTTCACCCCCACAAGTAAAATGGAGAATCATCTCTAGGACTCGAACTCCAAGAAATTTCAGAGACCGATGTGACCTGTGTATTAAAGAGAAGACCTTAATGATAAAGAATAAAGACCCTGATAAATTACTAAACTAACATAATGAGATGATCTTTAAATGCAGACATAGAAATCATCTCAATTTAACTCACTACTTATAAAAAAGAACTATATACGATGGTAAATATTGGCTTATATTTAGATATGAGGATGATTGTATGCACACATGTGTGTGAGTACATAATTTTATGCATATAAATGTGTATATGAACTTGCATATGGATATGTAAATTTATATATATATATATATATATATATATATATATATATATATATATATATATATGGGTACGTGTGTAATTATGTATATGTGTATGCGTATTCGCAAATTTAGATAGGTATATGTGTATATTTATCGATTCATATATATGGGGTTGCATATATATTTGTGTATATATATATATATATATATATATATATATATATATATAAGAATTTATATATGTGATATGCATGAATATATGTGTAGGATATAGTTGTATGCATATATTTGTATACATGGGTGTATGTTTATAAATATAGAGCTTAATGGAAGGAGATAATTTTTTTTTATTACCCTTTAATCTTACTTTCTCTTGAAATAATTTCTAATTAGATTTGAAAGTTTGGACATTTTACTCATCCGGAGATAATCTCAATTTAAATTGATCAATTAGATTTAAATTAAAAATGTTACTTTTTAACCATTATTCATAATATTGAAAATATTAAAATTACAAATATTTTTTTGAAATTTAAACACTTAATTCGCCATCTGACGTTAATTGTAAAATTTAAGAAAAAATTTAAATATGTATAAAGATGGATGCGTGTGGATACATGTAAATGTATATGTATGTATTTGTATGTGTATATGCGTATATACCGATGTATATCGATACATGTGTATGGGATTATATAAGTAATTGTATATGTATATGAATGTATGTGTATGTGTTTTTGCATAAATATATATGTGGTGTGTGTATGAAAAACAGTAAATTGTTTTTACTATGACTTTCAAATCTTACTCCATCTTGATTTGAAACCTAAACTTTAATTAGGAAATATTACCCTTCTAAAAATAACTACAAATTAAATTCATGAATTAGCTTCTAACTGATTATAGATATTACTTTAGCAGTCATTCACAATATTAAAATATTACTATTAGTAAATTTTTATTTTTTTATTTTTATTATTGTTGTTTATTGATATAATATTCGACTTATATCAAATCCCTAATTTATTTGTGGAGAAGTTGAATATTTAAAATGCTAACAGCCATTTAATTTTTTGTGGAGTTATTAAACATTTAAATTTCTATCAAATGTTAAAATCTGTTTTTATCTAAAGTGCTAAACCTATACCACCCCTTTCCTTCCTCCAAAAACCCTACCTACATCTCTTATCTCTTTACTTCTCCCTCTTTTTTCTTTGATTTGACCGATTACATAGGTCAATGTCTGATCCTTGCCCCTCTCCTTTCTCAATATTAAATATTATAATAAAAAGAAATATAAAATTAAATTTTAAAACTCTCCCTTCCCTCTCTAAACTCGACCATGTCTCTCATACCATTCGTCACCACCCTCTATGTCAACTTATACAAGCTTAATACTGCCCGTCAAAAGTGTAAATTTTAAATTCATTTTTCGTTTCACCTTTTTAAAGTGAAGTCTGAAGATTCAGGGAAAAACAAAATTCTCTGGTGAAATAAATTATTACAAATGAAGCCTTAAAATGGTCTGCTTTTCTATAAATTAAATAATTCGCTCTGACTTAACACTGATATATATATATATATATATATATATATATATATATATATATATATATATATATATATAGTTAGGCAAGACTACCCACAAAGCACCACTGATTCATATATATCGTTGTTTGGTAAAGTCAAATTACTGGTTTTAAATATATATATATATATATATATATATATATATATATATATATATATATATATATATATATATATACCAGTAATTTGACTGTTAAGCAAAAGTCAAATTACTAAGTATATAATCTAGCTATATATATATATATATATATATATATATATATATATATGCTGTATAGTATGCGATACACCAGGGATACATACAGTTTTAAATTCAGAGTTACTTCCTCCTAGACCCAAGGCTATACAACCCAGTATTTCCTGCTATTTCCCCAAAGCTGAGGCGGAAGAAGAGGATTCATACCATTCCCAAGGGTATTAGCATGTAATGGATTCGACTGGAATTCGAACTCGTCTCTCCGATTCCGAAATCAAAGCCGCTAGCCATTAATGCCCATGTCCATTTACCATAAGTTAAATCTTTGGTTACGGTTTTCAGTTCAAAATTACCTTTCTACTTGATTGTTTTCCAATCACAGAAGTCCATTCTTTCCTGGTATTTAATCCATTGATGGGGGGAAAGAAAGATTCATACCTTTCCCAAGGCAGTTTTTGCATGTCAGCGACTTACAATTCTGAAAAAAACAATTGATATTTCTAGCTGACGTAATGAGGAAAGAGCGATTATGCGAAACTGACGATCAAAGGACATAGTGAAGGGAAGGGAGGCGGTGCAAATCAGTGAATAACTTACCCAACCAGTTTGTGTAAATAGACAATATGGATTAAGAGAGATTAGCAAAAAGGCAAGACTTACTAAGAGATGCAAACGACAAAAAGTAGTAGAAAACAATGCTCGGCCACGTCCAGAAGAGACACGGCACAAAGAAGAAGAAGAAGAAGAAGAAGAATGTAACGAACTCGACGGAAATTCGAACTCAGCTCTCCGATTTCTCATTCCGAATCGCTATCAATTACACGCACCTGTAAAACAGATGTTATGGCGTAGGCAATGTTCATGCATATATACATACACAGTAAGATGGGCGCCTGATATCGGAGTGATGGTCAACAAGGCAGTGAGTTCAATTCTGACAGGCTGTCCCATACAAATATTAGACACTAACCAACCGATCGCGGAATGACATATAAAATCAACCAAGTTAACAGGATAGATAGATAGATAGATAGATAGATAGATAGATAGATAGATAGATAGATATAGACTGACAGACAGATAGATAAAGAGATGAACATGTTGAGATAGATAGATAGATAGATAGATAGATATGAACAAACTGATAGATAGATAGATAGATAGATAGATAGATATGAATAGACTGACAGACAGATAGATAAAGAGATGAACATGTTGAGATAGATATATAGATAGATAGATAGATAGATAGATAGATATGAACAAACTGATAGATAGATAGATAGATAGATAGATAGATAGATAGATAGATAGATATGAATAGACTGACAGACAGATAGATAAAGAGATGAACATGTTGAGATAGATAGATAGATAGATATGAACAAACTGATAGATAGATAGATAGATAGATAGATAGATAGATATGAATAGACTGACAGATAGATAGATAAAGAGATGAACAGGTTGAGATAGATAGATAGATAGATATGAACAGACTAACTGATAGATAGATAGAGAGAGAGAGAGAGAGAGATGAACAGATTGCGATAGATAGATAGATAACAGATAGAATGATAGATATGAACAGACAGACAGACAGATGGATATGAACAGATAGATAGATAGATAGATAGATAGATAGATAGATAGATAGATAGATATGAACATACTAACAGATAGATAGAGAGAGAGATAGAGATAGATAGAGATAGAGAGAAAGAGAGATGAACAAACTGCGATAGATAGATATGAACAGAGAGATTGATAGATAGGAACAGACTAACAGATAGATAGATAGAGAGAGAGAGAGGGAGATGAACAAACTGCGATAGATAAATATGAACAGATAGATTAATAAATAGATATGAACAGACAGGCAGACGGATGGATATGATCAGATAGATAGATAGATAGATAGATAGATAGATAGATATTAACAGCAAATCTGACCAAATGCGGTGAGATTTTGAGTAAAGGGCTTCTTGAAATGTTCAGTACCCTCGAGTAGATAGATTCTTTTCCCACATTAGATTAACAACACGGCGTCTAAAATACACTTACAGAAAGAAACTTAAAAACACAACACAAAACAACAACAACAAAAATGCAGCCCAGACAAAAGGAAAAGAAAAGATAAAGAAATGAAAAAAAAAAAATGAAATTGCTAAGAATATAGAGAGAAAAATAGAAAAGGAAAACAAGAAATAATTTTCGCACAAAAGCGGAAATTTAAAAAAAAAATGTTTAAACAAATTAAAGAAAAAAGACATTTGCCAGAAAAATAAAATATAGAACATATATAAAAAAATAAATTCCATGCAAGGAAATTCAAGCAAAATAAAAACCCTTCAAAACAACAAAGAAATATGAGCTAAGCGACTTCAGTCCGCCATGATGTATCGGGCAGCCATTTTCTCTGACCCTGACACTCTACTCTCTAGCTCCAGTTTTTCGTTTTATGTTTTCATTTTTCTTTTTACATTATCTTGTCTCTCTTCTGAGGTACTCTATGCATTCTCATGGTTTTCATTAAACTGGCGTATTCGTTTTTAGTTTTTATTTCACTATTTTTTAACCTATTTTATGCAAAAAAACAAAAAAAAAATATTCTAATTAACATTCGTTGTAGATCGGACGAATGTAGAACAACACAGAGGATAAAGACACTCTTTCTGAAATATCCAAGTTCGATTATCATCAAAAAATTCTAACCTTTCTTAAAGTTTGCTTAGATTCCTCTTTTAGCTCGTTTTATGAAAAAAAGAAAAGAAAAAAAAAACTAGCAACTACAGATGGCGTTGCCCGGGCTGAATCACTTGTTCCTCATCCTGATAAATTAATTTGTTTGTGGGATTTGTGTAACAGATTATAATTCAAGTAGTAAATATTTGGAGCGTCATTACTTTAATACCTTCTTAAGTACGTGAGTGATCATGGCTGTCCACAACTTCCTATCGATCGAAGAGCGAAACAATTTTTGCCCACTTACTATACCTTTCAATGCATGTCCTTCTATCCATTTGCATAAACACGTGGAATATGTTACTCGATGTTTCCTTTGTTCATTCATGGCATGTGTGATCATGACTCTCCATACTTTCCTATTTTTGTGCTTCTAAACAATATTTTTCCGCTTAGTATTGCCCAGTCATTCATTCTGACATGCATTTTCATAAGCACGTTGGGTAGATAACTCGATCTTGTCCCTATTCCTTCAGAGCGTGAGCGATCATGACCCTCCATAACTTCCTATTCTTTGTAGCTCGAAACATTGTTTATTTCACTATATTTACCAGTTTCTTTTCTGCCAGGCATTTACATAAACACCTTGGGTAGATTACTCGATGTTTCCTCTGTTTCCTGAGGGTACTGTCGATCAGGACTCTCCACAGCTTCCTATTTTTGTAGATCTAAACAATACTTCTACCTTTAAAATCTTTCCAGTCTTTTTTTCTGCAATTCATTTTCATAATTACGTTGGATAGATTACTCTATCATCCTCTCTTCCTTCAGAGCGTGGGCGATGATGACTCTTCACAACTTCCTATTCTTTGTAGCTCTCAGCAATGATTCTCCTTTTGTACATTTACGAGTCCTTACTTCGCCATCCATGTATATAAAAACGTTGTGTAGATTATTCGATGTTTCACTCTGTCTTTTCAGAGAGTGAGTGAACAGGGAACGCCATAACTCCTTATACTTCAAAACTTCTTAGCCAGGAGTCACCAAACTACGGCCTCCGATGTCAGTTCATCTCGCCCGCCACTTAACTCTACCACAAATGAGCTAAGCTATAATTATTTATATGAAATTATCAATAGATTGTCGTTAAAATTACTATGTAGAAAAAATTAAAATAGATGTAAGTAAAATGCCCAAATTTGGCCAATCAGAATTTTGCATCTGACAGTAAGTACCTGCAATGAAGTTTCTAAGATTAGCGATAACGAGCTTGCTGTAGCAATTATGTTTTAACTTGCATTGCCATGTTTAAACCAGTTTAAAGAGTGGTGTATATAAAAAGGACTGACTTCAGCGAATTATGTCATATATTTTTCTTGAACTCTAAATGATGTAAAGTCAGCATATGCATCGAGGTTGACTGATGTAGATTAGAAAGCATTTCTCTTGGTTGGGTACAGGAATAGCAAAACAAATATTAATTATATTTTAAAAGGTAAATGCCAGTTTTACAAATCTCACTAACCTTTTGGGCTGATTAGTTTGTGAGATTCGGATATGGTGCAGTTATCCAAGAAGGCGGCAATAGCAATATAATGATTATATATATTATGCCTTCTTGGATAAGTTTTTACTAAATAAATATGTTTGTTGTCTTTATTTTTCTGCATTGAACAAAATGGTTATCCGGCCCGCGCTTGTCATTCTCCCAGCTATCTAGCCCTCTGTGAAAAACGTTTGGTGACCCCTGCTCTAAGCAATGACTTCGTAATCATGTCACCCAATGGAAGGTACTAGAATCACTAAGACATAAGTGGTTACTTAGTGTGAAAGAATGAGAAAAAAGGAGAAACATTATTGAAGTGTGAGAACAAGAGGACAGTAATCAAGTAGACAGTAGATAAAGATCGATATTGTATTTAAATTTTTGATTATCAAACTTGGCTGGAAAGTATGGATTCGGAAGAGAGTTCCATTAGAGATAAATGCGATAGAAGAAACTATTAGCATAGAACTTCCGGTTCAATTTAGCCAGTTCAACTGTGAATTGACGAGACCTTGACGCCGATCTGATATTGCGCTTAAATTCACGGAGCCTTACTCTCCCTACCAACACACGTTCTACAAACCATTTATACAAATTCCTTTGATGTGTGAATCGACCCTCTATACGACATGATGCAAGATTGTAGTCATTAATACTCCTAAAGAAGTGTCTTAACAGATGACTGAAAATGCAATATGCGAAGGCGCGACTAAATAGCGAAAGATGACTTTCAAAAGCTAAGCAAAGTATTAAGAACCCGGAATATTTCATTATAAAGACACGGAACAACTATGAACATTATGGAGAGACTTGAGACGATGTTGTACATTGCTGCTAGACTCAAATAAGGCGATGAACACTATATATATATATATATATATATATATATATATATTGTTCGAGTTGCGCTAAATGGGTAGAGCGAGGGAGACTCACAAAGGTGAGGATTGTGCACACAGGAATTGACAGAACAAACTTTGTGGCAAATCGAGCCAGCCCCTCTTACAGGCCAAGAGTTGGACCGTTTTTATAACATTTGGACACCCACGCAACTTCACGTGTCTACACATTCTTCAGGTATGTCACCTATGCAATTTCTTGTGGCCATGCATCTCCGGTCGTGTGCTTACACAACTGTGGTCAAGCCCCTTCTGGCACGCGCCCACGCAACCACGCATTTCCTTCCGCTCAGGACAGTTTTGCGCCTTGTTTATTCAAGGCTCAGTACACTGCTGCGTCCTATTTATTTTCCCCACTCCGATTTTCGCTCATTCTCTGATGCAGCAGAAGTGAGGTCAAAGGTCATCCTCAACTGATATCCAACAACAACACAAATTTCCTTATACAGAAGGACTAAATACGTGATTAACACGGACTAAACGTATCAGTAAGAAGAAAGTTTTAAAGAAAATTGTTAAAGGATGGTTAAGATAAGTACGTATGTGATTATCAATTCAACATTTTAAAAGAAGCCACCCTGAGGGCATTGGAGGTCCTACCAGGATTTTTGGCGGGTGGAACAGCAAATATTGTTCAAATCATGTTCCAGCATAACTGTCCATCCTACAAAATGCTTAATATCTAAAAAAAAAAATAACGCTAAATTATAAGTTCCATTTTTCCAGGTTTTCATATAAGGCGTTTTGCCATCTTGATATCATTTGCCGTAACAATCATTGAAAAAACCTTTGAATTATCTAGCTAGAAAGAAAACAGGTTAAATTCGTTTTGTGTCAGACCCACTATGTTTTCCCATATGAACAATGGTGAGAGGAAAAAGATCATTCAGGCCTTCAGTAATGTTACTAACATTTATACTCAGGCTTCCATCTTCAAAGTCCGTACAAGAACCATCAAGAGAACGGTGAATAAGTTTTACAAAAGACAGAACAGTAGAGAGGAAAACTGGATCAGGAGATTACAGTACCAAGATGGATCATCATTTCAACTTAGGGCTAAAGAGATCTATTAGAAAAGATCCAACTCAATGTATAAGTCTTTGACACTAGAGAGAGGAGTTTGAGTTATGAAAATCCAAAGAGCAGTGAACCAAGGCTTGAAAATAAAATCGTACGTGAAACCTGTGAGATTAGAAGGTTAAAGAGGCAAACATCATCTTGAATAAATTGGAAAATGATACTGGAATATATATATATATATATATATATATATATATATATATATATATATATATATATTTGAACTTTCAAATCCTTCATGAGCATACTATCATTACCTAAGATTAATTAATGATGAACATATCATTTTCGTTTATGATTCATTTCATCACGATTCATCTGTTAAGCTTGGAGAGTAATTATACATTCTTTTTGCTCGAAGTAGTGTCTAATAGTGTTATAAAAACTTCAGATAATGCCAGTAAGATATCTTTAATCATTTCTAAGATAAAGCAGTTCAGAGCGTAATCTAACAAATGGGCAATTTTACTGTTACATCCGGTATATGCACATGAGGCAATAGACGTCAAGGACACATGGCACAGTGGATACAGGCGTTAGTTAGATCCAGTGACAGGACGCAAAGTGTGAGTTCAATACCCGGTTAAGGCAGTGGAGAACTTGGAGAGGTGAATTAACAGGAGATAACTGATAACCGACATTCATTAAACATGGCACGTGTAACTAGAACAGTGTACCCCAGTGAGCGAAATAAAGGGTTCATTTCGACATTCCAACCACCTGAAGAAGGCCTGAACG